TCGGGCCTCGCGCCCCTGCGGCCCCACCCCGGGCCGCGCCGAAAGCTCCTCCCCCGGCCGTGTCGCGCTGGCTGCCGGGAGATGGCGGCCCGCGGCGCCGCGGACCTGTCGCCGCTGTCCCGGCTGCCCAAGTTCTGAAGGGGCCCCGGGAGCCCCACAAGGAGGAGCAGAGGGGCGCGCCCCCCTCTTGTTCACCCGTGTCCCGGCTTCTGCGTCGCTCGCCCGCTGGGACCCCTGGGTTCTCCCCGGCTCTCTCCCGATTGTAACGAGTAGCTACTTAATCACTTTTTCTCGGGCTTACCCCCAGCCCTCGTAAGTAGCAAACCGCGTGGGGCTCACGGTTAGATTCAGTGCCAGACGCGTAGTGAGACCTCGATAAATGCTAAGTGAATGAGCTGGCCAGGCATCACATTTTGATAGGAAATCACTATCCTTGGCTTCGTCTCAGTTTTCAGAAATAACCAGTACGTATAACAATCCAAACAAGAATTTTTCTGGAAGTTAGAACCATAAAGGGGTGGTACGTTAGCCGATTCTAATGAAACGGTTATCCTGGTATGAGTGTTGGTCATTGATCTCTCTTTTCTTTTTAAGAAAAAAAAAAAGATGTCTGAATATATTCGGGTAACTGAAGACGAGAATGATGAGCCCATTGAGATACCATCAGAAGATGATGGGACGGTACTGCTGTCCACGGTCACGGCCCAGTTTCCAGGAGCATGTGGGCTGCGCTACCGGAATCCAGTGTCGCAGTGTATGAGAGGTGTCCGACTGGTGGAAGGAATCTTGCACGCCCCCGATGCTGGCTGGGGAAATCTGGTATATGTTGTCAACTATCCCAAAGGTGTGTTACCATTTGGTTTTATAATGATGCTGAAGCGTGGTCAAGTTTGTGTCTCATCCATAGATCATGGCCAGATGTCTCTTAGAAGTTATGTGTTTCTTTCAGTGTCACTGTTAGACTAATTTGGAAGACTATTAGTCTGTATTTGTGGAAATTGGAATTACAGAACTTTTTTTTTTTTTTTTTGAGTTGGAGTCTCACTCTGTCACCCAGACTGGAGTGCAGGGGCACGCCCCTGGTCACCGCAGCGTCGACCTGCTGGGCTCCGACGATCCTTCCGCTCAGCCTTCCAAGTAGCCGGAACTATAGGCGCGTGCTACCACGCCTGGCTAATTTTTTGATTTATTGTAGAAGATGAGGTCTCGCCAAGTTGCCCAGGCGGTACAGAACATTTTAAAAGAGAAAATGATGTATTGAAATAATTATCTCGCAGTAGTGGGAATCTGCCGGGGAATGGGGTATACCTCATCAACAAGGGTACCTGGATGATGAACATTTGTATACCTAACCATGAATTGTACCTCACATCTTTAAAATGAAAAAATTTAAAAAGAAGAAAATTATTATCTGAATAAGTGTTGCCAAGTTGACCAAATTTAAGGGATTACTAAGAATGCAGTTTTATCAGTGTTGTAAATAGGTTTTCTAAAGTGCTCCAGTATTTTGGTTTGGTCATTGTCCTTTTGATCTTACATCATTCACTCAACCAGTCTGCCTTCTTTTTTTCCTTAAATGCATATCACTTGTAGTATCAGGCTGGGCATGGTGGCTCATACCTGTAATCCCAGTGCTTTGGGAGGCTGAGGTGGGCAGATTGCTTGAGTCCAGGAGTTTGAGACCAGCCTGGGTGACATAGCAAGACCTCATCTCTACCCTCCAAAAAATAATGAAATAAATAAATAATATTAGCCAGGAGTGGTGGCACCTGCAGTCCTAGCCACTTGGGAGGCTGAGGCAGGAGGAGCACTTGAGCCCAGGAGGTCAAGGCTGCAGGAGCCAGTGAGCTATGATTGTTGTCGTCATGCCACTGCACTCCAGCCTGGGCAGCAGAGTGAAACCCCCAATTTAAAAAAAAAAAAATTACCATAGCACAGATCTTTTCTTGTTATCATTTTGAGCTGGGTTTTCACTGTGTCGCCTGGGCTGGCGTGCAATATCATGTTCGTGGCTCACCACAGCCTCAACCTCCTGGGCTCAGGTAATCCTTCTACCTCAGACTCCCAAGTAGCTGGGACTACAGGTACCACCATGCCTGTTTAATTGTTTGATTTACATTTTTGTTGTTGTTGTGACAAGGTGTCAGTATGTTGCCCAGGCTGATCTCAAACTCTTGGGTTCAAGCAGTCCTTCCACCTCAGCTTCCCAAAGTTCTGGGTTTATAGGTGTGCACCACTGTGCCCAGCCCAAAACCTTGAATTAATGAAGTTCCAGTTATGATTTTGGGGTTCTGGTCTTATAACTTGATATCGCAAAAAGGTCCATCAAACTTGGTCAGTATGCAAAACATTGTCTAGAAGTTTAATTCTTCTTCCCTTCCCTTCTAGGTAACCTAAGGTTAGGCTTTTTAAATTAATCTAAGGATTTTTTTTCTTTTTAAATTAGAGATGGGGTCTTGCTCTGTTGCCCAGGCTATGTGGTGGCTCTTCGTAGGTGCAAATCATAGTGCACTACGGCCTTGAACTCCTTGGCTCAAGTGGTCCTACCCCTTCGGCCTCCCTAGTAGTTGGGATTACATACGCACACCACTGTGCTTGGTTTTCTTTTTTATTAGAAAATTAATGTATATTCATTGTTGAAAGCTTAGAAAAGATAAAAAGAAAAAATCACTCTTAAATCTACATCAGAATATAAAGGTTGCTAATTTTTTGGTATAGAACCTTTACTTTTGTTTTCTTTGTTTTTAAGTCAGAGTCTCACTGTGTTGCCCAGTCTAGAGAGCAGTGGTATACTCGTGGCTATCGCAGCCTTGACCTGCTGGGCTCAGGCAATCCTTCTATCTCAACCTTCTGCCTGAGCCTTCCAAGTAGCCACCATGCCCAGCTGGTTTTTCTTGATTTATTGCAGCAACGAGGTCTCACCAAGTTGCCCAGGCTGGTCTCGAACCCCTGGGCTCAGGCAGTCCTCTCACCTCTGCCTCCCAAAGTGCAGGGATTGCAGGTGTGAGCCACTGTGCCCAGCATAGAACCTCTAAATAATACCATAGGCATTCAAGTAACTAAGCCAATGTAATTAATAGCCACAAAGATAGTATTACACTGTTTTTAACCTGTGTTTTTCCTACTTAACCTGTTTTAAAGACAGAGTGAAGTAGAATTATTTTTGTTGCACTAACCCTGTTGAGAGGGATCATTTGTAACCTTGAGGTATTACAACACCAGAATGGGGGAGGTCACTGAATTTACACCAGGAAAGCACTTCATCCACTTGGCCAGACTTCTGTTCTGCCCTTGATGCTGACATTACTTCTTAGAGTCTATTTTGCTTCTCTAGATTTCTAGACATAAAAAGTAGTGTGTTTTTAAAGAAGCGATAATGAGGATTTCTAAATGGTTTCTGCTCATTTTGTTTAGATAACAAAAGAAAAATGGATGAGACAGATGCTTCATCAGCGGTGAAAGTGAAAAGAGCAGTCCAGAAAACATCCGACTTAATAGTGTTGGGTCTCCCATGGAAAACAACTGAACAGGATCTGAAAGACTATTTTAGTACCTTTGGGGAAGTGCTTATGGTTCAGGTAAAGTTGGATTGCATGGAACAGTCTTTCTTTACCAGTAAATGAACACACAGCATTCCCGTTACTTTAGTGGCCGTGTCCCTCATACTTTTTATACATACAGGATATTTAAAAAGAAATTTGGAGCCGGGCTCGGTGGCTCAGCCTGTAATCCCGCGCCTTTGGGAGGCTGTGGTGAGTGGATTGCCTGAGCCCGCGGGTTCGAGACCCACCTGGGCAGTAAGACCTCATCTCTACAATAAATCAAAAAATCAGCCGGGCGTGGTAGCGTATGCCTGTAATTCTGGCTACTTGGAAGGCTGAGGCGAAAGGATCACCAGAGTCCAGCAGGTTGAGGTTGTGGTGGCCGGAAGCGGCCACTGCACTCCAGTCTGGGCGACAGAGTGAGACTCCAACTCAAAAATAAAGAAAGAAAAGAAATTTGGGGTCGGGAGTGGTGGGTCACACTTACTTGTAATCTCAGCACTTTGGGAGGCACAGTTGAGAGGATTGCCTGATCTCAGAGGTTCGAGACTAGCCTGAGCAACATGGTGGGACCTCATCTCTACAATAAAAAAAAAAAAAAAAAAAAAAGTCACCCAGACGTGGTGGCACACGCCTGTGGTTCCAGCTACTTGGAAGTCTAAGGCAGAAGGATCACCTGAGCCCAGTAGTTTGAGGCTGTGGTGGCCTTGAGCATGCCACTACACTCCTGCCTGGGCAACAGAGTGAGACTCTGACTCAAAAGAAAAAGAAATTTGTCTTCCTTTATGTGTGTACCATCTGTTTTTTAGCCTGTAATATTGTAAAATCCTTCATAAGCATGAAGGCTTATGGGAAATAGGTATCATTGACTTTTTTCTTTATATAGTGCATGATGGGAGAGTTTTCTGCTTATCTCATTTTGTTAAGATTTGTAAATGTAGTTTATCTTTGCACTCATTGTAAAATACTGTGTTAACACTTATTAAACTCCTTGCTTTTATCCCAAGACTAACTTGTTTTGGGGGGAAGGGGGTTGTTTGTTTGTTTTTTCTCTTGGTTTTGGTTTTTGAGTCAAGGTCTCGCTCGATTGCCCAGGCTGAAGTGCAGGGGCACAATCACAACTCACCGCAGCCTGCAACTCCTTGCCTCAGCCTCCTGAGTGACTTGGACTGTAGGCGCATGCACCATACCCGGCTAATTTTTTTTTTTTTTTTTTTTTGTAGAGTCGAGGTCTCACTATGTTGCCTAGCTAGTCTCAAACACCTGGGTTCAAGCAATCCTCCTGCCTTGGCTTCCCAAAGTGCTAGGATTACAGACATGAGCCAACACGCCTGGCCATTACTTGGTTTAAGTTTTAATTAAGCCTCATGCATCCAATTGAAGCCATTCAAATTTTATGTCGAGGGACTTTGATATTGGGGGGGTGTGCTTTTTTAGAGTAAATTTAATTAATATTTTCTAGGTCAAGAAAGATATTAAAACTGGCCATTCAAAAGGATTTGGCTTTGTTCGTTTTACGGAATATGAAACCCAGGTGAAAGTAATGTCACAGCGACATATGATAGATGGACGATGGTGTGACTGTAAACTTCCTAATTCTAAGGTACTTTGCCCTGTTTTCCTAGGTTTTGGGAATTTTTACTGACAAACATCCTTAGAAGACACTGTAAGATAAGATGTTACAAACACTTAGGAAAGGTAGTGGGAGGGTGTTTTTGAAATCTCTTTGCCTTGTTGAAGCCTTAGGATCTTAATGCATGCTGAGTATTTTATGTTTGTTTGAAATACTTAGTTTATTAGCCTACCAAACTAAAGCTGTTCATTTTATTCTTCCTTTGTCTTATTTTTGTGACATTGACAGTTTCTTGCATAATTATATGAGGGGGGACCCAAAAAAACCCCAGAATATATAAATTGAAATTCTGTATTCTTACATGCTTAAACTTTAGTCACTTTTAAAATACTCTCCATTTAGCCAGGCTCGGTGGCTCAGCCTGTAATTCCGCGCCTTTGGGAGGCTGAGGTGAATGGATTGCCTGAGCCCATGGGTTCGAGACCCGCCTGGGCAGCAAGACCTCATCTCTACAATAAATCAAAAAATCAGCCGGGCATGGTAGCACATGCCTGTAATTCCGGCTACTTGGAAGGCTGAGGCGGAAGGATCGCCGGAGCCCAGCAGGTCGAGACTGCGGTGGCTGGGAGCGGCCACTGCACTCTAGTTTGGGCGACAGAGTGAGACTCCAACTCAAAAAAAATAAAAAAATACTCTCCATTTGATGAAATACACTTGTTGAGGTGCTTTTTCTACTCTCATAACAGGTTTTGAATTTGTCGCTTTTGATCCCTTTGGGTGCTTCTGTTGGTTTGTTTGTTTCACCTCTTCCACATCGGCAAAACATTTTCCTTTGAGGACTTTTTTCATTCAGGGAAACAAAAAAAGTCACTCAGGGCGAGATCAGGTGCCATCTTTGGTCAAAAACTGTTGAACACTCAGCACAGTATGGATGGTTACATTGTTATGGTGGGTAGACCAGTCACCTGTTTGCCAAAACTCAGGATGTTTCTTCCATAAATGGTGACACAAGCTTCTCACAATTTTGGTTGACTGTGTGATCCAGAGGAACAAATTCCGAGTGTACTACAAGGGGCCTGCCCTCTTAAAGATAATTCTGAGGTTTTTCTTGAGTCTTCCCTCGTCTAAAACATAATGAGAATACATTAATCTTTTTATAAAGGTCTCACTTCTTTTTCTTTTTTTCTTGAGTCGGAGTCTCACTCTGTTGCCCAGACTGGAGTGCAGTGGCCGCTCCCGGCCACCGCAGCCTCGACCTACTGGGCTCCGGTGGTCCTTCCGCCTCAGCCTTCCAAGTAGCTGGAACTACAGGTGCGCACTACCACGCCCGGCTCATTTTTTGTAGAGATGAGGTCTCGCCAAGTTGCCCAGGCGGGTCTCGAACCTGCGGGCTCAGGCAGTCCACTCAACCTCAGTCTCCCAAGGCGCGGGATTACAGGCTGAGCCACCGAGCCCGGCTAGGTCTCACTTCTTCCAAGCAAGCAAATAAGACTTGCTTATTTGGACTATCATCTTTGTCAGGAGATTTCTCAATCATTGACTTTTTAAATCTAAATACAGTTCTGTATCAATTATATAGTGAAGTTTTGGTCAACAATGGATCACATGTACAACACTGGTCCCATAAAGTTATAATACCTTGTATAATAATGCCTTTTCTGTTTTTTTAAATTTTTAAATTTTTTTCCCAAGTTGGAGTCTCACTCTGTCACCCAGGCTGGAATGCAGTGGCATGCTTATGGCCACCACAACCTCAACCTGCTGATGTCAGGCAATCCCTCTGTCTGAGCCTTCCAAGTAGCCACCATGCCCAGCTAGTTTTTCTTGATTTATTTTAGAGACAAGGTCTCACTAAGTGCCCAGGCTGGTCTCGAACCCCTGGGCTCGGGCAATTCTCTCACCTCCGCTTCCCATGAGCCACATGCCTAGCCCAGTAATACCTTTTCTGTGTTTAAATATACATACATTGCATTAACAGTAGTCTTTAGGATTTGAAACAGTAACATGCCATATGGGTTTGGAACCTGGGCCATACCTAGGTGTGTAGTAGGCTGCACCATCCAGCTTTGTGTAGTAAGTATACTCTTTGATGCTTGTACAATGATGAAATCGCCTAACAACACATTTTTCAGAGCGTATCCCCATCATTTAATGATGCATGACTATCCTTTTCATATTTAAAACTTGATTCTTCATTGAAATCTTACAAGAAGGAGATGTGCTGATGCAAATATCAGGAGTCTGCCTGCTTGCTAACGAGTCCCTGTGCAAAAAGGCAGGAAGGTTTTGTGATACCCCTACCATAATACTTTTTTCTTATTGCTTGTAAAATATTTCTGAGGTTTTTTCCTTCCTTTTGACTTCACTAGCAAAGCCCCGATGAGCCCTTGAGAAGCAGAAAGGTGTTTGTCGGGCGCTGTACCGAGGACATGACTGCCGATGAACTGCAGCAGTTCTTCTGTCAGTATGGGGAAGTGGTGGACGTCTTCATTCCCAAGCCGTTCAGGGCCTTCGCCTTTGTCACGTTTGCAGATGATCAGGTATTGTTCTCTTTACTGATTTGTCCCAGCAGATCACCATCCTTGGCTCAACTTTCTGATCTTGTAAAGTTGGAGGATATGTGGGCCTAGGTGTTTGTGATCCCTATATCGAAAATATGTTAGATATTTTTCAGGATGTAGTGTTTGGGGATGTTTTTCAGGATGTAGTGTTTGGGGATGTTACCTATCTTTTAAAAATAGACAAATATCACTGCTGTCATTACTCAAGCTACAGGCCATACTGGAGGTTTAAATGAAATAAGCGTTTGTTTAATATTTTTCCTCTGGTGTAGATAAATTATGCTTGAAATCAAGGTTTTATTGCTACTTTGATGTATAAATCAGTGGTTTGATCTCCCCTGTTTACATTCCTTATTTCTTATAGGTTGCCCAATCTCTTTGTGGAGAGGACTTGATCATTAAAGGAATCAGCGTACATATATCCAATGCCGAACCTAAGCACAATAGCAGTAGACAGTTAGAAAGAAGTGGAAGATTTGGTGGTAATCCAGGTGGCTTTGGGAATCAGGGTGGATTTGGAAACAGTAGAGGGGGTGGTGCTGGCTTGGGAAACAATCAAGGTAGTAATATGGGTGGGGGGATGAACTTTGGTGCATTCAGCATTAATCCAGCCATGATGGCTGCAGCCCAGGCAGCACTGCAGAGTAGCTGGGGCATGATGGGCATGTTAGCCAGCCAGCAGAACCAGTCAGGCCCCTCAGGAAATAACCAAAGTCAAGGCAACATGCAGAGGGAGCCAAATCAGGCCTTTGGGTCTGGAAACAACTCTTACAGTGGTTCCAATTCTGGGGCAGCAATTGGTTGGGGATCAGCATCGAATGCAGGGTCAGGCAGTGGTTTCAATGGAGGCTTTGGCTCTAGCATGGATTCTAAATCTTCTGGCTGGGGCATGTAGACAGCGAGTTACGGTTGGTGGATATAGAGTGGTGGGAATTCCAGTTTTTCTAAACTCATGGTAAGTATATTGTAAAATACATATGTACTAAGAATTTTCAGAATTGATTTGTTCAGTGTGGAGTATATTCAGCAGTATTTTTGACATTTTTCTTTAGAAAAAGAGGAAGAGCTAAAGGAATTTTATAAGTTTTGTTACCTGAAGGGGTTGAAATATTGAATGGTTGAAAGTGAACTGCTGTTTGCCTGTGTGGTAAACCAACACACTACAATTGATATCAAAAGGTTTCTCCTGTAATATTTATCCCTGGACTTGTCAAGTGAATTCTTTGCATGTTCAAAATGGAAACCATTGATTAGAACTACATTCTTTTCTCCTTGTTTTAATTTGAACCCCACCATATGGATTTCTTTCCTTGAGAAAATCTCCTTTTGGGAGATCATGGTGTCACAGTGTTTGGTTCTTTTGTTTTTGTTTTTTAACACTTGTCTCCCCTCATATACAAAAGTACAATATGAAGCCTTCATTTAATCTCTGCAGTTCATCTCATTTCAAATGTTTATGGAAGAAGCACTTCATTGAAAGTAGTGCTGTAAATATTCTGCCATAGGAATCCTTCTGTCTACATGCTTTCTCATTCAAGAACTCGTCATCACGCATCCCAGGCTGCGTCTTTGACGGTGGGTGTCCCATTTTTATCCGCTACTCTTTATTTCATGGAGTCGTATCAACGCTATGAACGCAAGGCTGTGATATGGAACCAGAAGGCTGTTTGAACTTTTGAACCTTGTGTGGGATTGATGGTGGTGCCGAGGCATGAAAGGCTAGTATGAGCGAGAAAAGGAGAGAGCGCGTGCAGAGACTTGGTGGTGCATAATGGATATTTTTTTAACTTGGCGAGATGTGTCTCTCCATCCTGTGGCTTTGGTGAGAGTGTGCAGAGAGCAATGATAGCAAATAATGTACGAATGTTTCTTGCATTCAAAGGACATCCACATCTGTTGGAAGACTTTAAGTGAGTTTTGTTCTTAGATAACCCACGTTAGTTGAATGTGTTAAGTGACACGATACTTGTATTCCCCCTGCCCCTCTGTCAACTGCTGTGAATGCTGTATGGTGTGTGTTCTCTTCTGTTATTGATATGTAAGTGTGGTAATGTGAACTGGAGATGGTGGGCTGAGAACATGGACTGAGCTTGTGGTGTGCTTTGCAGGAGTACTTGGAAGCAGAGTTCACCAGTGGGCTCAGGTGTCTCAAAGAAGGGTGGAAGTTCTAATGTCTGTTAGCTACCCCTAAGAATGCTGTTTGCTGCAGTTCTGTGTCCTGTGCTTGGATGCTTTTTATAAGAGTTGTCAATGTTGGAAATTCTTAAATAAAACTGATTTAAATAATATGTGTCTTTGTTTTGCAGCCCTGAATGCAAAGAATTCATAGCAGTTAATTCCCCTTTTTTGACCCTTTTGAGATGGAACTTTCATAAAGTTTCTTGGCAATAGTTTATTTTGCTTCAAATAAACTTATTTGAAAAGTTGTCTCAAGTCAAATGGATTCATCACCTGTCATGCATTGACACCTGATACCCAGACTTAATTGCTATTTGTTCTTGCATTGTCCAAAGTGAACAGTATTTTTTTTTTTTTTCTTTTTAAATCTAGTTTTTAATAAGTCTGGGTGACCGCACCTAAAATGGTAAGCAGTACCCTCTGGCTTTTTCTTAGTGCCTCTGTGCATTTGGGTGATGTTCTATTTACATGGTCTGTATAAATCTCCAGTGGGAAATCATGCCTTCTAAAGATATTTGGGGGAGTGGGCAAAACAATGTTGATTATTTTCAAATGCTTTGTAGCAAAGCATATCAATTGAAAAGAGGGAATATCAGCACCTTTCCAGTTTGGGATTTGAAAAGTGGAATTAATTGCAATAGGGATAAAGTGGAAGAAACCACCATTTACCTTGTGCCTGAAACCCATTAAGAAGTCTGGTAGCGTTAAGAACCAGTGGGGTGGGTTGTCTGTGGAAGTGTTTAGCGAAATGGGTTTTGTCCTCCAAAGGGTGGGGGAACGTAGTGATGTTGAGTAAAACCACTTATAGGACTCACTCTCACAGTGCACTGTTAATTAAGTATGTAAAAGCAATAACACATTGATTCTCTATTGTACTTTCTATGTAACTGCTAATTCTGTGTGAGAGTTGAGAGCTCGTTTTCTAATTGGAAGAATGTGACCGTTTTTGTGTTGGTAGTTTACCTAATGCCCTTGCCTAATTAGATTATGATAAATAGGCCTGTCATTTTGCAAGTTACATTTATCAATGAAGTCGTCCTTTAGACTTGTGAGCGCCACGTTGTTTCATTATTCAGTTTCCTCTGTAAAAGGATCTTGAGTTGTTTTAATTTTTTTTTCTGCATCTAAATCTGCATGATTTCCAAACCCTGTACCATCTGAATTTTGCATTTTAGCACTTGCACTGTTACTCAGCAGCAGTAACATGGTAACACTTAAAATGGTATTCGGGGACCTCCAAAGACTAAACTGACAAGCCTTCAAGGAGCCCAGGGGTAAGTTAACTTGTCAATGGCATGGTTTTAATCCCTTATTTACACTCTTGTAAACAGTCTAGTAACTGGTCATGGAAGGCTTTCAGTGTTGGCTAGCCTTTTATTGACATGTTTATGGTACTTCCTAGCTGTGGGTATTTATTCTACCCTAACACAAGTTGAAGTTGAGAATTACTTAAACTATTTGGCAAAGATTTGTTTTTAGAAGTCTTATTTGGTCACCTAAATGGATTAATTCTTTAAAAATTTTTGAACCAGTTGAATAAAAATGTTTGTTGTCACCACAGCTTAGTGTCTGGAGTCTTACTGGAAAAACACAATTTCTTTTTTATAAGTGACAAAAGACGCTGGAAAGTTACTTTTACAAGTTGAGTCTCAAGCATTGCACTTCATATGCACAAGCTTTTACATATAATAATAGCTATTTAGTTAGACTGGAAAACTTGTTTAAAAGCTGTTAAAACCTACTAGAGAAGAATAGCCCACTAAAATCAAGCAAGTTTTTTTTTGTTGTTGTTGTTGTTGTTTTAATATAAAGTCAAGGAAAATTTATTTTCTGAGATCATGACACAGGAAGTCGAATCCTAGCCGCAGCTGTGGAACTCTGGTCAGAGTGCTGACTGACATGCTGGGTGGATCAGGAAGCCAGAGTTTGTGTCACCACAGAATGCTCAATTAACTTTGTTTAGTGTTAAACAGTGGAGCACCCAGAGCCAAGTGTCAGGGAGCAGATCCTGAGCATGTGCTGGGTGTCGACCAGGCCCCATACTGGACGCACACAGAGCTTGCTGGGTCAGATTGAGACAAACGATTGTGTGGTGGTGGGGTTCGGGTCAGCAGGCTAGATAGGTTTCTGCCTTTTGATCATTATTGTTTGGGACCCCATGGGAGGGCCTTGGAGGCCACCTGAGCCCCAAAACTGGGAAGTTCCTCAGAGCTGCTCATGTCAGGAGCCTTCTCACTGCTGTTGGCAGTCCACGGCCCATCACACACCACAAAGCCTCTGGATGGCACTTTGGACTCGTGTACCGGAGGCTTCATGTATACCTGCAGCACCTCACTGTCCACCTCATCTGCCAGGTATTCCTCTTCCAGGTTTAGGATGTGGTCAATGGATTCCTTCATGTTATCTGGGAGCCCCGTCACTGTGACGCAGTTAGGGTCTGGGGCTCTGCTCTGTGGAAAGCAAATGTCTACCTTAAATTCGTGATTTTGCGGATGGCTTTGCCATGGGCACCAGTGATACAGGCGTGAACACGGTGGTCCAGGGAAACGTCCTTGAAAACCATCTCTTCTTTCACAATTCTTAATATAGCATCCCAGGAAGCTTCTGTATTCTTTTCGTGCCCTGTGGTGTTAATTTGGTCCTGGGTCTGGGTCCCATCATCCTTATCAGGAAACTGGATGTTCATGTCCCCTTTCTCCCAATTCGGGATGGTATTTGGGGTCTACAGTGGCAGTCAGCTTAAAACTCCTTAAAGCCCGGTCCTCCTGTTTGGCCTCCAATTCCTTCACATGCTCTGGCAACCCAGCCTTGGCCTGGTCCAAATTTGCAGCAAGGCCTGTGATGGTGACGGCGTCAGACTGTAGCTCAGGTGCTGGGACGTGTGTGTTCACCTCAAACTCATCCATCACTTTGCGAATCCCATTTCCCTTCTGCCCAGTGATGTAACGGTGAAGATCAAAGGGCACCTCCACGTCAATGGTGACAGGAACCAGTGCCTCCAGGGCTTCCTTGGTAGCCTCACGCTATTCTTTCCAGCCAGAGATGATGATGACGTCACACCTAAAAGAGCCGGGGGCATCTTCCTTGGCCCCTCCCCTCCCTCGCTTAGTCCCCATTCTCTGGGAATTCAATTTGAACATTGAAATCCCGAGTAATCTGCTGGATTCTGGAACCTTTGGGGCCCATGACAGATCAGTGGACTTTCTGGGGTATAGCACGTTCTACTGTCACCTGAGCTTCCAGATTCCTCAGTGATTTCCTGAAAGCGTTTCTTGGCTGTCTCCACACAGTCCTTGCCGCCCTTGAGGGTGACTTTGTCACTCTGTGCTGGAGTGTGGGAAGCTACCATCCCATCATACTCCTCAGCAATCTCCCGCAAAACCTGGCCTCTTCGATGACAAAGTGGTGGTGGTGTTTGGGGTCCGCCAGCTTGTAGTCTTCAACCACGTTATTCAGGTTCTGGATCAAGGCCTCCAACTCCTGCACCTCCTGGACAGCATCCTCCTTTCCTCTGATGGCAATCAGATCTTGATCCTTGTCCTCGGCTGCTGGAAAGATGATGCAGGCTCTGGTGCTGTCACACACCTTGCGAATTTTGCCACCTTTGCTAATGAGAAATTGTGTTCTGACTTGGCGGATGTGAAACTCTTGGTTTGCTTCTCCTTGGCCAGGTGCAAAAGCTGCTGCTTGGCCTTCTCCGTATCCGAGAATGGACCCCTGATGATAACTGTCGCTTCCTGAACCTTCCACAGGAAAGTGAATGTGGACCCCACTGCACTTCTCCATGATACAGCAGATGAGACAACCCTTCATGTCGATGAGGGAGTTGTGCAGCTTGGCAGGGATCGAGACCTCCACCTCACCTATGTTGGCCAAGTCTTTCTTTAACTCACTTGCCTGTGATGATAATGGTCTCTGAATTGCTATTCTCTGCTGGAAAGTCAATCTTGGTGTGTTGCTTTCTTCACGAATCTTGTTAATGTTTGCACCTCCTTTCCCAATGATGTTCTTATGAAACTGAAGATCGGAACAGAAATTGAGTAGCTATTTTCCACCAAGTCTGCCACCATCTTCTGCGTGTATTTTGTGCATTTTTCCACCTCATTCTTGGGCCCTCTAAGTTGGACAATACCACTTTTTTGTGCTGGGTCAAGAAAGCTGATGATAACCTCTGGGAATTTGTTACAAATTTCACGGATCCATTCACCCTTCTGCCCAAAGATTGTGCTATGAAATCTTTGCTCTGCCGGGCTCAGTGGCTCAGCCTGTAATCCCGTGCTTTGGGAGGCTGAGGTGAGTGGATTGCCTGAGCCTGTGGCTG